ACTTGTGTGAGTGTGATATCTCCAGGCCCTATCTGGTCCCATCTCATTTTGATTACCCTGTCAAACAAGTCAGCCTTCGCCCCAGCTCTTATTAGTTTCATTCAACCATGACAGACAAGGACATGCGTGTAAGAAAGACCTATAACTTTGAGTCCTCGGGAAATACTTTCATAAACTGAATCGACTGGGAATCTATCTGAATTTTTTAAACAGACAAATCTGTAGTCAAAGTGCTTTCCTGAAAGAAAAAAATCCATAAATATTCAAGTTTTATTCCCGGCACAATTTTAAGCGAACAGAGCTACTTAAAAAAGGAGGGGGGGGGGGGGGGGGGGGGAATAATCATCATAATAACCCCCCCCCCCCCAAAAAAAAAAAACAACAACAAAAAAACAACAAAACAACTACAACAAAAAACAGCGCTTGTTAAAAACTTTGCAATGCCCCCAAATCATATCAAAGATTATTTACGTCAGATATTCAATGATTTAAAAAATCAACAATAAATAAGTAATATCCGTACCAGTAAATATAATGTTCAATCCTGTTGTTAGTTTTTGTACCATGTTTACATTTCGTCTGCTTCGGTTGGCATATTGGGTTGTTTCAAGCAATATTGAGTTATAAGGTGTGGACTTTAAACGTAAGTTTTAACTCTGCTCCTTTCTCATTCTGTATTCTCTAACCTGCACGAATAACAATACATATGCCTCTGTTCGTCGACTGGAGGTCTCGGAATTTCATTGTCATCCTTACTCCTATATTTAGAACCATTCTCAGATTAGAAGGCCTACATTTACTTTTGTCTTTCGCGTATTGTTACCTTTTTTCCTCACTGTTAATATCCTCTTTTCAGTTCTTTTCCCGTCTCTTTGGAAAAACAAATCAAAGTTTAGAAAAAAAAAACCCTTATAAAAACCAATTAATATGCTTTTTTGGTTTGAAAAAGTGTGAAAGATAGAGGTTAGATGAGGACGTGAGTATCTTTGTCTTTCTAATTGAACATTTTCAAGAAAGAGAAAAAGTAAAACGGCCAGAAAACATTTAATTGTCACCTAAAGTTTAAAAGAAGGAGGGCACTGAACGCTGAACTAACTTCTTTTTTTTTTTAAGGTGGCACCTTTACAAGGGAAACAACTACGCTAAAAGATTAAAGCAATGAAAAATATTTGGTTACGTCTCTTGGATATGTGTTAAAAAAAAAATTTAATCACTTTGGTTATTGTTGTTGTTCTTGTTGGTGATGATGATGATGATGTTGTTACACTCCTGATTTTATTCGTCGCCTGTCCTTCCGTCACACAAATCAGAATGTTTGTCGTTTTTTGTGTGTGGATGGAGGAGGGGGAGAGTGCGTTGATACACACACACGCGCGCGCGCACACACACACAATACACAGACATACACACAGACATACACAAAAATAAATACACAGATTTACGCCCTCACTTACATGCACAC